TATTTACTTTTTCCATACTTTTACATTAGATGAAATGAGAGCTAACAGTTAGACCGGATGGTCTAGTGAGATCCCTTTTTCTATGTCATTGCAGGGTTAAAATCACCAAAACTCTATTTAAGTCAACTTTTCATATATATAACAAATATATGAACAAGTAAAACATAATACTATTACCTTTCCAATTCCAAAGCCAATCATTCAGCTTTTATATTAAAATACCCAAACCCAAATAGGTTTGAACTAACTAGGTTTCACATAATGCCACTTTTAAATCTTTTCAATTAAAAACAAGGTTTATTCAAAGTTTCAGGCCAAAACCTGTTTTCAACTTCTCAATAACATCCAGACTACGATTTCCAATAAGAACCCCGATTCTAAATCTTTAAATCAGAAAGAAATAAAGATTCCAAATCACAGTAATCTTAAAGGATATAATAGTAAGAGTTATATCATACATCACACATACAAATGCCACCTTTATATCCAAAGGTACACCTCTCCTTGATATGCCACCCTTATCCCATGGTACACCTCTCCTTGATATGACACCCTTATTTCTTCATCAAATCATTTATAAATTATCTACAATTAGAACAGACCGCAGTCATAAATGTCCAAATGGAATATCATCAGTTCAAAATCATTTTTATCATAATTCTCATTCCTTATTATCATAAAAGAACATTGTAAAAATGATTTATTTGAACTAACACTTTAGTCAAAGTACAAAATCAATCAACTTAAACAATTTTGGTCATTATAGACTTGGCCGGACTTCATCTCCAGTCAAGTCTTGGCTGATAAAATAATCCGGACAACATCAAGACCCTTTTTCCGATTTACAAGTCCGGACAACTCAAATCCATTTGTCCGATTTTCAAGTCCGGATAGACTCAATATTAGCCCGATCAAGCCTTATCCGGTTTACATTTAAACCGGACATTACATCATTGGGACTTTAAACAAATCGGGCAGCCTTGATCGTATTCCTACTTCTCCATTCAAAACCTTTATCCGATTTACATATTCAAAATCTCACCCTCTCTAAACCACATAATACTATGATCGGTTTAAGGCTAACTTGGTCAACACGTATCCGATTTAACATAATCCGGACATTACTTGACCGATTTAAAGTTAAGTCTGGGTAACAATTCGTA